GACCACCACCAAGGAACCAGCCCCCCCCCGGTTGCCATGGCAACCCAAAACCCGTTCTTCCCAAAGAAACGCCATTGGGGGAAAGAAAATGGGATTAGCTATTTCTTTCTTTCTTTCTTTTTTTGGTTCTCCTTTTTTTTTTTCCTTTTTGATTTTTCCTCCCGATACCATAAGATGGTACTGATTGGCTGTTTTTCATCTTTGATGTTGCAGGCTAGCCTCTGCCGAGGAGGGTACAGCCGCTTCACCCCCTACTAGCAAGAGACCCCTCACAGCATTCACACCACTGCTTATTCCAAACCAAACCCTACAGTCCCAACACCAGACACAGCCATCAGGAGGACAGTGCGCCCCTCCCGGTCAGCGACAAGCGCCGCTGACCCTCTGCGACTCTAAAGTCCATAGATTTTTACCTCCAGCCGGCTGGTCTCCCCACCCCACCCATGCTGGTGTGTGTGTCTCTGACCCTGGTTTTCCTGTGTGTCTGAACCTTGCTTTCCTATCTTGACGTTGTTGATGTTGTACAAGCCACTTCAGGTACAGTATGCATACAGCGGGAGCCAGGCTGGGGGGACGGCAAGTTGCCCTACCAGGGCCATGCCTCTGTCTCAGGGCAACACGGGCCCTCAGAGCTCCAGAAGTGCCACCAAGCCTCCCTCAGAGCCACCTCAGCCAACCCCCTGCAGGCCTGGCCACCTCTATGCTTGGTGACCAATAGAGGAGCACCAGGGCTCTAGGCCTCGTCGGTGGGATTCCCAGTGGGAGGGGGGCCTCCATCCACCTCTCCCTAGGAATGTCAGGAGTGGCTGCGGCCCCTCTGGACTTCCACTCAGCTGAAGCTAATGTTTCTATTAAAGTTTACTAATGGTCCTCCTGTCCAAGTAGTCACAGCACACTGTTCTGTGTGTATACTGCTGCAATCACCCCAGCTCTGGGATTCCTTACAGAAATGGACATGTCCCTGCCCCGGGGTCACCCTGCATTGGTGGACCCCGAGACCCTTCCTGAGCCTGACGGCCTCCTCAGGCACCGAAGCTGATGGCTTTGGGTATTTGTCCTTGACCTACAGAGCTGCCCACCCATCCCCAAGACTCAGCATACCTTTTGTCGAGGTCCATCACAGGAGAGGGAAAGGTGTCAGCAGTCAGGCCAGGGACACGCGTCAGCTTCCTTCCCCCAGCCTCCGTTAGCATGTGTGTGCCTCTGTGGCCTGTGGGGACTCACCTAGCTGTACTGCCTAGAGTCCCGGAGGGGATGCCAGTTGGTACCTGAGGTCGAGCTGAGGGCTCTGGAGAACTAGCAGGTGCTGGCCCCTCCACTCTGGGGGTTCGGGACCACACGGCTACCAAAGCTGTCAGCCCCCTTGCAGATGGAGAGCCCTGCTTCCTCTCCTCCCACGTTCTCCACCCTGCCCTACCCGTCATCCAACCACAGCCCTGCCCATCACTACAAGATGGTCTACTCTAGGTCCAGCTTGTGGCGGGGTTCCAGAAGCTGTGGGGGCTGTGACTTCAGGTTGACAGGCACAGTGGCCCTGATGCTGCAGCCACCCCTCAGAAACTGCAAGCCTTCCCTTTCTGTTTCTGTTGTAGTGAAACCTTCCACCGTCTCCTTCTCGGACCATGAAGGGCAAAAACAAAAAAACAAAAAAATCACAAAACAAAAAACAAAACAAAAAAAGATGTTAAGATCCAAGCAACAACAACAACAAAAAATTCCAACCAAACCAAGAGGCATTCAAGAGTCCAAGTCCACGTCTGGCGTACGCCCGCACCGAGGGAGCTCGTCCCCCAGGGGGCGCCGGAGAGTGGCCTTGCCTGGCTGGCGGTGCAGTAGGGATACGGCCAGGCGCAGGGGAAGACCTGGAGGGAGGATGTGGCCCGTGGGTGTGGGGCGGGGGGGCTCGGGTATCTGTCCAGTCTTCCCTTCCCACCCTGCTCCCCAGGCAGGGGTTCCTAGGGTGGAGCAGGCCCCTGAGAAGGAGCGGCCAGCTGACTTGGGCTATCGCCTGCTGAGCCCTGGAGGGGCTGGGGGCAGTTCGGGGCCAGCGGCCTGTCACTCATCCCAGGTCTCCAGCCTGGCCTCATTGAATGTGCTGCCAGTGCCTCAGCTGTCCAACCAGCCGCCCTGGGGTCCAACTCCCAATGCAAAGGGCTGACATGGCTCCAGAGCTCTGGGGCACCCCATGCCCCGCTCCCCTATGTGAAAAAGCTTCCGGCTACAGAGAACAAAGGAAGCCCAGCCAGCGGGGACCCAGTCCTCATGCTGTGAGCGTGGGCAGGTGGGCCCTGGAGCACAGGATTTGTTTGTAGAGGCAGCCTTCCTGAAGAAGGCCAACCTCGGCTGTCTGCTAGGACCCAGCCCTCCTCCCCACTCCCTTCCGTAGGCTCAGTTCTGCTGGGGAGCAGGGGATGACCGGTGGGCCAGCCCTGGGCTGCACCTCGAGGTTGGGAGTCAAGGTGCTATGGGTCTGGAGGGCCCCAGTCAGAGCAGGACCCATGGGGAAGCCAAGAAGTGGGGGCAGGTCCGGGCTGGCCCCGCCAAGGGAAGGCCAGCAGGGCTGCAGCCCCTTGGCTCCCTGGGCAGGTGAAGTGGGAGTCACAGGGAAGCAGCAGACCCAGTGGAAGGCACAGGGACAGGTAGCAAGAAGCCCCTGGCAAGGCAGGGATAGGTGGAGTAGGACTAACAGCAAAAAATTCACAGAAACCATGGCTCCCGACGCGGCACCAGTCTCATGACACCTCAAAATAAATCACCTCACTTTCTATCCAGCATCAGCCACCGAAGCTATGGAAACGGAACCCTCCTTTTCTATTCCTGTTGTACATAGCCCCGCGCCTGCCTCCGGCTCTGTCCTCTGTACAGAGCCCCGCGCCCTCTGCTGTTTCGGACCCTTTTCCCACAGCAGCTCGGACCCCCTCCCCCCAGCCCCTCCCCAGGACTGCAGCCGAGCCCCAGGCTTCCTTTCTTACCATTCTGTATGCTTCCACGGTGTGACCATTCAAATTAACAGTATTATTATTAAGATTAATAAAGATTTCTTTCTTCAAACCAGGATGGCTTTTTCTGATTTAGCAGTTCCCGGCACAGGGGGCGGGGCAGGGGTAGGATAGGCAGGTTGGAGACCCCCTCTGAGCAAATACCTGGGATTCCAACCCCCGTCTTCAGGTTGGCCTGCTGCACCCCACCCCAAGACGGGCCAGGGGAGCAGAACAGGCCTCGAGGCTTCTGCAGCAAGTCACATCTAAAGGAGAGGGACACGCTGGGCATCCCCCAGCCACGGTGCCCCACTGGACGTGAGAGGTCACAGAGCCAGGGGTAGGGAGTGAAGCCATCGTGTGTGGACGCCCTCGGCTGTGGCCCTACATTCACTTCAAGGTGAATGTGCCGCCCCAGCCCTGAGCCCCAACTTCTGAAAGAGGCGGCAGAACAGCAGGGGGGGGGGGCTAGAAGACACGGGCTGAGCCCTGCAAGGAGAGGTGCAGAATCCAATCCAAACGCTTCAGGGCTGGGGCCGGGAGTCGGATCGCACCAAGACTCGCCTTCTCATTTTTCACATTGGATAATTTATTTCCAAGCGATTATATCCACCAGAGGGGCCCCGGCTTAAATGCCGGCAGATTAATTTTCCTGCACAGGAGCCAGTGTTGCTGGGACCGGGGACCGTGCTCCTGGGAAGCGGGGTGGTGCGGCTCTGCCTCACGCCATGCTCTGCTAAGCCCCCTCACTTCTAATTGCTTGCTCACCAGACTGTGAGAAAATAATTGCCACTATAAATTTTTCCTCCTTCTCTGCATAAAATATTTGAAGGGGCCAGCACTTTTAAGAAGCGGACTCGACACCACGAGGGAAGCGGGGCATTCAGGAATGCTGTACTGCCCCCAGACAGGCCACCTGCCCTGCCTGCCACCCACGGACTCTCCACTCCAGCCATAGCACCCTGGCGGGAGTGGGAGAGCCAGTGCTCTGGGGCAGGATCTGCCCGTGAACCAGAGAAAGTAAGGCCAGCACAGCACCGGGGGCTCCTCTGCCACCCTGCAAGGCTGGTGGAGCCATGCCAGAGTACAAGAGTAGCCTAGGCTTTACCAGAGGCCCTGTCCTGCCCCTGTCCCTGTGAGAGCTGGTAGAACCACCCGGGTTCCAAGTCCTCACCCTTACACTTCACTCGATAGGGGCAGAGTGCCCAGGAAATCAGGGAAGATGGGCAGGGGCAGTATCAACCGGTACAGGGAGGAGCCACCCTTGCCCTCTTTGCTTGGCACTCAGGACTCTGAGGAAGCCCCACCCACCCAACCCATACACCTCTGGGAGACGGTGACAGGCTACCCTGGCATCTGGTGGCCACCCACCCTATACTACAACATGAGGTCCACAGGTCAGACCCCAGAGCTGTGTCTCTTTTCTCAACACAGAAGGGATGTGAGGGCTCTATATGGTGGCCTGAGCATGAAGCACCAGGAGAAGCAGGAAAAATGCGGTTGGGCATTACCCAAGACGCAGCTACACAGCAGGCTGTTTCCATGCAGCCCAGTGTCAACAGGGCTCTGTACGGCTAAGACGTAGCCACCTCGGAGGCAAGGCTCACCCGCCTCTAGCAAGATAGAGGAAGAAACCTGGTGGCACCCTGATGTCTCTGCACCTTCACCCCGATCAGACAGCCTAGGGGAGATACTGCACAGGCAAGGGGGTTGGGGTTCATAGCGACAGCCGGCTGCCACCGCCACCATCCATACAGGTAGTCTGAAATACAACCGGCTCACCTTGTACAGGCGGGGGTGCGGTGCCAACGCCCACCTGATGGGGCTCCTAGTCCTGGGGGGCACCGTCCCAGCTACCCTGTGAGCACCCCGACACCCACTCCAACCCTGAGGGGTGTTGCCTCAGGCTTCAGGGAGCATCACAAATCCTGGCCCCTGGGGATCCTTATGCCACCAGTGATGTTTGTCTCTGATTGTCGACGCTGCGGGGGTCAACGGCCACCATTCTCAACAGAAGCGCCCTTTTAGACGATGAGTAATAGCCTTTATGGAATTTTTTGGAAGAATCCTCAAAGCCTCTCCTTCCTTGAGACTTGCATCCCATGGAGAGCATTACAAAGAAGGATGTGGGTGCTAGGTAACTCACCTAGAGCATCCACGGGGCCGAGCTTCCTGAGAGCATGGCCAGAGCCTAGAGACCTGGCCCCTGGGGACCCAGCTACACTCAGCGGTCCGCTCAGCCCTGGGCGGCTGCCCAGGAAGACACCTCAAGTCTTGAGGTGAGAAGAGCACTGTGCTGTGGGCTGGGTTCACTGAGGGGCTGAGTAGAGCAGGACTGCCCTGCCCCATTCAACCTGAGGCACCAGGAAGCCCTCCCTGGGGACAGGCTCCACCAGGAACTCCACACGACCATCCTGCCCAAATCTAGCAGCCGCCACTGCTAAGTCCACCACACGGTACTGGTTGGCAAAAGCCAGGCCCAGGAACACAGGCTTCTCTGTCCCAGGGGTCTCCTCCGTTGCAGAACTGCTTCCTGTCCGCTCCCGGCAGTGAATCCGGAAGCACCGGGCTTGGAGCAGGAGGTAGGACCAGTGTAGAGTGCAGCTGAGAAGGAGCCGGGTAGGGAGGCCCTCGGACCCCGAAACCAGGGGGACCCAGCGGATCTGTGAAATGGTGACATTCTGCACCCGGGGCAGAGGGGTCAGCAGGCTGTTGGCATCAACCACCTGGAAGGAGAGGTTTGTAAGGCCAGATGCCCAGGAGGACATAAAGGGGTGGCATCCCATGTGGAGGCACTCCTCAGTGCCTCCATCCACCCTTCCTCCTCCCCAGGGACCCAGACACTCCCACATCCACCCCTTCTCCCCACAGGCCCAGCTCCCACATACACACCTGGATCTCTCCAAGACGACAAATGAAGCTCTTCTCCTCCCGGCTGCCACCGGGTGGCCGTGAGAAGCTCACCAAGAGGTCCCGAAGCAGGCACCCATGCAGGCTCACCTCATAGCAGCTGAAAGAACACACAGGCTGCTCACAAGCCAGCTACGGGGAGGGCCTGAGCCACAGTATGAAGGGGGGAGCATCCGGAGGGTATCCCAGGTCATGGGGGCCAGGACTACTACAGCAGGGTCCTACAAGGGGTGTCCTGGTCTGTCTCACTGCTGCTGAAAACCTCGAGGGTCAAACCAAGGCCTCTCCTTCCCTCTTGTTCTGGGGTTTTTCAGTAGGGGACTCCTTGTTTGTTTGTTTGTTTGTTTCGAGACAGCGTTTCTCTGTGTAGTTTTGGAGCCTGTCCTGGATCTCACTCTGTAGACCAGGCTGGCCTCGAACTCACAGAGATCCACCTGCCTCTGCCTCCCGAGTGCTGGGATTAAAGGCGTGTGCCACCACCGCCCAGCAGTGGGGGACTCACATTCCTTAAATTCTCCCATGTGTGCCCATCGCCTTATGGGGACTTGACAGAGGAGGACTCACCGTTGAATCCAGCCCCCACTGAGCTGCTGGCCACAACGGCTGGCCCATCTGGCCAGCTTGGTGGGGGGCACCCGGAGGGGTCGGGGGCTGTGCCTTGAGCCAGTTTCTGCTAGAAGACATGGGCTTCAGAAAGGAGAATCCCACAGGAAAACCCAAGAAGGGCAGGATGTCTACTTAGCAAGGCATTGTGGGGAGGAGAGTCTAGGTAAGACCCCTGGTGGGGCAGTGGGGGGAGGGGGCCTAGGAGACCCTGGTGGGGCAGTGGGGGGAGGGGGCCTAGGAGACCCCTGGTGGGGCAGTGGGGGGAGGGGGCCTAGGAGACCCCTGTTGGGGCAGTGGGGGGAGGGGGCCTAGGAGACCCCTGGTGGGGCAGACGCTTGGAAAGATTTTGGAGGACCAGTGGGCAGTGTGTCTGGGACTGGCCAGACTCACTCATCCTGGCTATCTACCACCTTGCCACCTCCACAGCCCACTGGTGTGCCCATCTCAGTGTCCTGCCCGGAAGGAGACCTGTATTCAACCTGCCCAAAAGGCCATGCTGCTTAGCAGGGTCACAGAGGTGCAGGTAATGACCACAAGCAACAGATTCCACCCAAGGTGGGAGCAGCCCCGCCCCGCCCACAGCAGCCCCGCCCACAGCAGCTCCGCCCACAGCAGCTCCGCCCAGAGCCAGGACCTCATCCACCTCCTTTCCATGAAGTCACCCAGCCTCTCACCGTTCAACACCGAAATGCCACCCACATGGCAGCTGCTGGCATCCCCTGTTGTGAGCTCCAAAGCCACCTGGACGTCTGTCGAGTCTTCAAACTTGTACACCATCGACAGGAAGAGCTTGGGTGGCACCGGGACCAGCAGGGAGAACAACCTAGAGGAGAGAAACCCCACTAGAGGAGTAAGAGAGACTGCAGGTCCTCCACCAGCCCCTCCCTGCCTGGGTCGGGAGTGGGGTGGCCAGACACCTGCCCTGCTGTGGTCAGGACCCTGCTGTGGCCAGGACCCTGCTGTGGCCAGGACCCTG